CATAGCATGCCATGCACCTAAAATTAAGAACCCTACTTCATGTGTGAATATATCAATTTGCAGAACACAAGTGTCTCATAGAGACAAAGAAATACAACTGGAGGCATTTCATTCACTGGATGCATTTTCTCAGATGAGCAAACTCATCCTTGATATGTAATTCCAGTAAGAAAAGTCTAGAATTGGAAATGCCATGAGCTGCTGCAAATATACAGATTAACAACATTTCTTTCCTCATTCGATCCCACCCCACCTGGGTAAAGACTTCCCTTAGCAATGTCCCCTTTTCTGCCTCACAGAGACAGATGCAAAATGAGACATACAGTGAAAAAAGGTGTTCCAAAGTTAAAACTTAATATTAGGTACAAAACTGGCAACTAGGAATATATTTCCTTACTTTAGAAGGATATTTTGTCTATTTTGAAATGCAAAATCAAAGTAATTTTTTTCCAGAGCCCCTTGATTCTCAATATAAACACTTTATGATTCAGTAATAATAGTTAACTATGGGTCAAGAAAATAAAGGACTACTAATATAGCTTAAGAACCTGCTGGTGTCTCAGTTTCACATACTTTTTTCAGGTTTATATATTTACCATTAGTTTAAATGGAAATTGGCAGATGGTTTTAAAGCTAAGAATATGCAGCTTTCTGTTCAGATCTTTATATCCTAATTTCAACTCCAAATTAGCCCATTTTACTCAAACACAAGCCCCTCAAAATAGAGGCTCGTGAATGAGATGCACCTTAACCTAATAACAGCAGCATGAACAATGCCACTAGGATGTCCTCACAGAACTTAAATAAATTCAGCCCACAATGGGTATGGGTATATAATATACACATACTGTATCATTGCATACCAATATATTTACAAATATGTACATATATACAAATGTATACACAGAGATTGCATTTAGCTTCACAAAAATATACACATGCCATTACAAATAAAATAAGAATTTCAAATAAATAAGGTCAACGAAAGAGCCCTCAATGTAAATATCCCTTATACTGTCCAAACACACAGGAACAAATATATTCCAAATAGCATTCATTCGATTCATATTCATATCATATCTTTTTACTCACTTAGGGGTAGGAGGTGGTTCTGAATCAGTGGCAAAAACCAAATTTGCAGACCTTGGCAACTTACTCTATTTCCACTCCAGAATGTTCTCTGTATATCAGACTGACTACAGGTCACTGTGGATTAACTAAGTACAAGATTTTTCAAGTGAGTTACAAAGCTCTTCTAAGAGACAAAAAGTTACTAAGTCACACAGGTCAGAGATGAAATTTGGAGAATGCTCAAGAAAGCTCCATAACTGGTACAAAATCAGATTTGTTGCTTATCCCTTTGCCTCAACAAAGTTCAATAATCTGAATTAACTCAGAATTTAACCTAATCAGTTTCAGAGAATTTATTGCCAAGAAGAAAATAAAGGACAGTAGCCACAGTGAAAAAAGGAAAAATTGAAATCCAGATCTGAAATCAGGAAAATTTAGTCAGGATTAGATTACACTTTGCTTTATAATCTCAAAACTTTTCATCTTGGTAAAAATAGAAAGCATACAATAAATTCTTATGTGCTTTTAAAGTTTTTTGAGAGCACCACATCTTAGGAGGAACACAAAATAGATAAACAATACATGCTGGGAAAAAATAAAGACAAAACATTTGCTTAACTTTTTTTTTATAATTAAAATTTTGTCAGGGCAGATTGCTTCACTGGGTTTCATTATTTGATATACTAAAAAAATACCATAGCCTTTTGTGCCAAAAAATAGATTTTTAATTATTTCCTTCTTGCTCATTATAGAAACTACCTGAGCTACTAGAAAGACAGGGATGAGATTAGAAGATGTAAGCTTTAGTTCGAGCTCTAACATTATGGATACACAGTTTTGTTTTTATTTGGTCTCAGCTTTCTCTTCTGTAAAATAAGAAGATAGTTGCTTTACCAACTTCACACGTAAGTGGGTAAAAGAAAACATTTCCATTGTGCTTAGTTTTGTTTTGGGTACAAAACAAACCGAAATTGTGCAAAGTTGTACTTTTCATTTAATTAACCATAATTCCTATGGGAAGCCAGAGACTATATCAGAATCTCCAGGGGGAGAGTTTGTGCAATTTGATACCAAAGAAGTGCCATTGCTTTGCTCTTTCCCAATATTTAAATTTCTATGAATCTAAAAACAAATAAGTACAGGGCTTAAAGGGATGGTGTGCATTAAAAAACTGGGATTCCTTGCCATTGCAATCATGAGCCCATCAGGTGATTGTCCTTTTACAGTTCTTCCTCGATTAATGCCTTCATGTTTTAAAATAAATTATGCATTAGATAGAAGCTGGTTGATAGGTATAAGTGGACATTTTAGACCCTGTGTATATTTAAAACTAGCACAAAGGTATCTGCCTCAATAAGGTCTATTCTGATCTTCATCTAAAAATCACATTTTGTCCAAAAGCAAAAGCAAGATTTCCTTGCCATAGTCTAAATTTTCTTCATGCTAGTTATAACTTTCTACTATAAATTTACTTATTTTCTTTATTGTCAGTCACCTACTAGAATGCAAACTTCATAAAGACATTGAGTTATAAGTCTATTTGATTAGATCTAGAATAAAATATGTACTATTTTAGAAGTTTGTTTTATTTTTGTTTCAGGGCCACATCTGGCAGTGCCCAGAGCATATTCCTGACTCTTTTATCAGGGGTTGCTCCGTGCAGGGCTCAGGGGACCTCATAGGGTGCCAGGGATCAAATCCAGGTTGGCTACATATAAGGCAAATGCCCCACTTTCTGTACTATTGCTCTGGCCCCAGTACGATCTTAGAATTTTAAGCAACATTTTTGAAGGCATGAAAAAGACAACAGTTTAGAAATTTCATATATCCTTTCACTAAAGACTTCAGTTCACTTTTGATTTTTAACTACAAAGAATTTTTAACTAAAATATTTTGATATTATACTACAACTGGATTAAGTGGCCTTATTATCATCTAAACCCTAGCAGTGATTTCTAAATTCTCATGCACTTGAACAAGAATGCTTCTAGTCTCAAAGTTCTCATTTCTCAGGGAGATTCTCCCTCTGATCTAGTTTCAAAGATTAGATGGGAATCCAGATATTATCTTCAACAAAAACTAGGAATAGGAAAATCACATTCAGAAAAGAGAATTGTTTGTACATTAAAAATCAAGTTTGATAAGTGCATGAATGGAAAAATCTCTATCTTTTGGAACCAAGAGTTCAAATTATAGAACCAAAGAACTGGAAAAAATTGGGCCAACAACTTCCTTTTACAGTTGAGAGAATTAAAAAGCAGAGACCTGAAGACACCTGTCAGCAGGTAAAGCTAGTTACCAGGAGAGCCTGAATCAGAACTCAGATCTCCTAGTTCTCAGATCCCTGTTCTTTATGCCAAACTTGTGAGTCTAAAGCTCAGGATAATAAATATTATTTTAAGCATCAGAGAGCAGGAAAATACATGATTTTTTTTATTAGAAGCATTTCTGGCACAGAACTGAAGTGGACTTGAAACAAGAGGTCAGGCAACTAAGGCTAATCTACTGCTATAAAGGGAAAGCTATCCAAAAAAGGGTAGACTTTAATACTGAAAAATCAACCCACTAGCAGGAGAAATCTCTCTCCGGGGTAAATTTTCCAAAGCTTTCTGAAATAATAAAAAAGGACAGACAAAAAGAATTTAATATTGAAACACCACAAAGTCCCCCAAACCCAGGAAACAAGAGCCTTGAGACTTCAGATGAAAAATCAGCAAATTAGAATGGGCAGATGAATAACTCAGACCCAAATAACTTTCTATGCCAGAAATGAAAACTGAGTTAAAAATACTACAGTAAAATTCACTTAGGGACACAGGAAAGAGGCACCAAAAGTAATTACCTCATTTCCCCTGGGACTGTGAGAGGTAGAAGAGCCTATATAGAAAATTAGGAAGAAGGAATTTTGATTCATAGATTTTTGAACTTGAAAGCTGTGGAGTCTTTTAAGGGAGAAATAAAATCACAGATAACTGCCTGTAAAATATGAAGGAGATGATGGGAAGGGGGGCTGGGGGGGAAACATGAAAATCTTTATATTTTATATATCAAGTCCTATTTAAAATAATTAAAAAAAACCTATGCATGAGTATAAAATAGTAAATACAAGGAGTTAAAAAATCTTATTTTGAAATTGTCAATGCAAAAACGACTTCCATTTTTGGTCAAATAACAAATCTGTTACCCCCAACTGAAATGAATGACCTCTCTGACCTCTGGGTAAAAGGATGCCAAGCCCTGCACCGTGCGCCATGGACTTCCGTCCTGACAGCTTCGACGCCTACTGGCAGGAACTGAAGTCCTAGGAAACACTGATTATACTATGAAACCAACCATCTGATTTTTCAGCTGTGATATTTAAAAGCCGTTCTTTCATATTTCCAGCATTCACAGACTACAGAGAAAGACAATATGCCAATGTTATCTCATGATAACACACGACTCCCACACTCCAAATTAAATTTATCATCTCAAGGCCCCAATGAAAAAAATTAGCTTTCAGGTTCTCAAAATGAGTTCCGTACAGTTTCTGATATGTTGACAGTGTTATAAATGAAGGAAAATGATCTCAAGAACTGTCTTGATTATGCTTCAAGGAATCACACAACGTTCTGTCTACTTTCTTGGAATGAAAAAGAAAAAACTATGGAAAGACTGTTCTTGATCTTAGTAGTCCATGCTGTCTAGGGTCATCTTTGCAAACAATTACATTTTTTTCCAAATCCACACATTTAAGGTCCAAGTACAAGAGCTGGATTTTCCTCTTTATACAAAAATAAATGATTTACTCTTCTCAGGGTGAGAATAGTGATTATTTTGAGTGTAGGATTAATGTTGGAAGTAATCCATACCTCAAAACCAAAAAATAAAAATTCCAAGATTGAGTTATTTTTTAAAAGACCTGAAATACTGTATTTTTAAAACAGTTATCCTAAAAGTGTGAGCATTTATTTTTTCAGTTTGTTTTTAAAATGGTGGTCTTAAATTAAAAAATAAAAACTAAGTAACACCACTATGTGTCTGTCATCACATTAGAAAACGGCACCATTTATAATCTGTGGCAAATGAAAAACTGTTTAAACAAGAGGATGCGAGTTTCAATAGTCATCTATGGCATTCTCAAGGAACACATTTCGCACATCCAGGATGGACGCCAATTCCAAAATATGCTTCTGTAGATGAGGATTCTCCACTGTTTCATCCCTTGGCAGTTGTGGATAGGATTCTGGGTAATTTCGTGTTTCCTGGGAGGCAAAAAAAAAATGAGAAAGGAGGTATTTTATAGGTTAATGAAAGAAAATTATAGACAGCCTTAATAAGGATATTGTTAGCATGAGAGCTAGAGCAGGCTGGAGCGATAGCATAGCGGGTAGGGTGTTTGCCTTGCACACGGCCAACCTGGGTTCGATTCTTTCATCCCTCTTGGAGAGCCCGGCAAGCTACTGAGAGTATCCCGCCTGCACGGCAGAGCGTGGCAAGCTCCCCATGGCATATTGATATGCCAAAAACAGTAACAACAAGTTTCACAATGGAGACGTTACTGGTACCCGCTCGAGCAAATCAATGAACAACAGGAGGACAGTGCTATAGTGCTAGCATGAGAGCATAAAGGAGTAATCAGATGTACTTTTCATCTTCAGACTGGTTTGACCCTTACTAACAATAGAGTTGCAGAACATACAAAATCCTTCACATTTGACTATTTTAAAAATTTTAATTGGAGGACGGTGTGGGACATACCCAATGGTGCTCAGGGGAGTCATACCCTGACTCTGTGCTCAGGAGAAAACTCAGGCAGAACTTAGGGATCATATATGGCTCTGGGAATTTAAGCTGGGATCAACATGAGGAGAAGCCTTAACCCCAACACTACCCCTCCTGGTAGGCCTGGGCATAGCAAGAAGGATTCCCACATCTCCAAGGTACCACTGAGTTTTGGCCCTATGACACAGTGGAAACTTGATCAAGTCACTTACTAGTTATTTCACAAGTATTTACTGGGATCTCTCACTTCTGGATGCTAGTGTTATGCTAAGTGGAAACTATGTAAATCCTACTTTCTGCAGGGAAAAAAAAATAGCACATACAGAATTTCAACAAGTATTTGTAAAATTACTGAACAAACAGATGTTATAACAGAAATTTTAAAATACCCAAGAAGCTCTGCAAAGTCCAAGTATTAGAACCTACTAATTCCAGAAATAACGGCTGGAGCAATAGGGCTGGGTAGGACATTTGCTTTGCATGTGGGTTCAATTCCTGTTATCCTGTGTGGTCCTCCGAGCACTGCCAGGAGTGATTCCTGAGTGAAGAGCCAGCGGTAACCCCTGAGCATTGCTAAGTGTGACCCAAACAGCAATTTAAAAAAAAAAAATCCAGGAGTGAGAGGCGTCAAAGGGGACTGAGAATGCAGGATTAAAAAAAATAATAATAAAGTTTATTTTTATTTATTTTGGTTTTGGCATTTGACCCAGCAGTAATCAGGAATTATTACTCCAAGTGGTGCTCGGGAACCCATGGGATCCTGGGGATCAAACCTGGGTCAGCACTGCTGCAAGTGCCCTCCCTGCTGTACTTTGCTTCAGCACCCACCAAATACTGTTAAAGTTCAGTCTTCAAAAGTTAATTGAGAAAATGAAAAGGCAACTATAGGACTGGAAAAAAAAATAGGGAGTACATTGAAAAGACTATTAACATTATTCACAGGTGAAATGTAAATTGAGATAGCACTGTATAGCACTGTCCTCCCGTTGTTCATTGATTTGCTCGAGCGGGCACCAGTAACGTCTCACAACAAATTGTGAGGCTTATTGTTACTGTTTTTGGCATATCGAATACATCACGGGTAGCTTGCCAGGTTTTGCCGTGTGGGCGCAATACTCTCAGTAGCTTGCCGGGTTCTCCAAGAGGGGCAGAAGAATAGAACGGGGGTTGGCCAAGGTCGGCTATGTGCAAGGCAAGCGCCCTACCTGCTTGTGCTATCGCTCCAGCACAAAGTTTGAAATTTTGTGCCTTTTTTCAATTTGCCTAACTATGACTCTTAAGGTAAATTGAATAAAGGCACAAAATTTCAAACTTTGGTAACACCAAGTATGATACAGGCTACTTGTGGGAATATGAAACATTTTAACTAGGCTGGGGAGAAGTTCAACAGGCTGGAGCACATGCTTGCATGTAGGAGGCAAGGGTTTTATCACAGATACTACCTGGTCCCCTGAGCGCCACAAGCAGTGATCCCTGAGGACTGTTCCAGGAGTTGTTCTGAGTATCCCCCACAAAAACCCACAAAATGCTACACCTACTTTGACAAAAGCTTTGGCAGTATCTTACATGGCCTCTTCAGTATTATCATGAGTGATTCCTGAACATGAAGTCAGGAATAAGCCAGAAAACAAATAAAAATGGAATAAGTCCAAAGCACAGCCTGGTATGACCCCAAACCCAAATACATACACACATACATGCACTGTAGCACTGTCGTCCCACTGTTCGTTGATTTGCTCAAGCGGGCACCAGTAACGTCTCCCAACAAATTGTGAGACTTGTTGTTACTATTTTTGGCATAGCAAATACGTCATGGGTAGCTTGCCAGGCTTTGCTGTGCGGGCATGATACTCTTGGTAGCTTGCCAGGCTCTCCGAGAGGGGCAGAGGAATCAAACCCGGGTTGGTCATGTCAGCCACGTGCAAGACAAATGCCTTACCCGCTGTGCTATCACTCCAGCCCACATACATACATACATATTTATGAAGTATGAGTGCAACAAGTAGAGGCACAGTATTTATGGAAAAAGCAACTCTTACATACTCCGGGTGTGCAACTGGCACGACTTTGCAAATTATTTGGCATTACCCCCCAAAAACGGAATATGCCTAAATCCACTGACTTTACATTCCACTATTAGATTACTATCAAAGACATAAGGTCTCAGAAGAAACTTAACAAAAGATTTCAGCATAGCATTGTTTAATAAAAATCTGAAAAAGTAACCTGAATACCCTTTACCAGCAGAATGGATAACTAGTTTATATATATATGCATGCATTTCATAAAGGCATTTGGGTCCATGACACACTCATTACATGAAAGTGATTCCCTTACTCTGTCCCATACAGACCAAGTGTGGAGCAGATGCAGCCATCTCGGTCTGTATATTTACATTCTAGGATGTCCACACAACAAAATGGCCTAAATATGCCTTTCTCAGAATATATCCTTACCATTAAGTGATGCCTGGTCCAAAGTGGAGCCCTCTATGGTAGTTAAAATAAATTCATGAAAGCTATAAAGTCACTAACATGTTTCAATCTTAGAAATAATACCACAATGAGTGGAAAAAATCAGACCTAAAATACGGACCCATAGATATGCTCTCTGAAAACACAAATGAATGTGGTAAAACTATTGAGGAAAGTGAAAGAAAATTCCAAATTTCTGGGGCTGGAGTAACAGAACAGGGGATAGGGAGCTTGCCTTGCTTGTGGCAGACCTGGGTTCGGTCCCCAACACCCTATATGGGCTCCAAGCACCAACAGTGATCCCTGAGTGATCCCTGAGTGTAGAGCTCGAATAAGCCCTGAGCACTGCTGTGTATGGACAAAAAACAAAAAAATTCCAAATTTTATTTTCATCTGGAATGGAAAGAATATCAGAGAGGATCCACACAGAACCTAGAGGAATAAAATGCGCCTCTTAGAGAGGGGTAGGTATTCGTATGTGCTTTATATAATTCACAATTTTACCATTTACAATACATATTTTACCTAAAACTACTCATATTTTACTTAATACAGGTAAAACATAAAACATGATTCTTAAAACATACACCTTAAATACCTAAGATGTAAAACTTTTTCCTTATTAAGTAAATTTTGGCCTACCCGAAAAATCTTGTGCATCCTCATGGTGGCTGAACAAAAGATAAATCTTGTGAGAAGCAAGCGAAGAAATTCATCCCCAAAAAACTGGAGAAATGCCTGATCTGCAAAGAGAAGAAAGGTGACAGTAAAAGGATGTTTACATGGAAAATACTTTTTCAAAGGGGAAAATTTTGGGGAAACCTTTTAAACTTTCCTGCTGGGGATAAACACCTTAAAAACTTCAAACAATTTAAACAGTTTTAAACCTGAATGACACAGTCTATTAAGTGTTCTGTGAGATTAGCAGGGTACCTATTGAACGGGAATGGGTCAGTAGCTGCGCAATATCACGGTTGATTTTTCGAAGATAGTCTTGGCACTTTTCCCATAGGCCTCTACGCATGCTTGACAATCCAGAGACAAATAGGAAGGCCATTAGCGGATTGTTCAAAAAGAGAGTGAAGAGGCTGCCTCTTTGAGATTGATCTGTAATAACAAATATATTTATGTAGAGAGAGACAACATTTTTACAGAAGAGATATATTTGAAGAACACTTTAATATAATGGTAATATATAAAATCAAAGATATGTTGTTAATCATAATTCAACAAAGAAGATTCTGCGTGGAACATTAAAACCATATCCCAGACACAACAGTTGCTGGTGAACAAACTCTGAATTCACCAAGTTTTAGAGTCAACTTCCAAGAAGATAAAAAGCTATTTCCTTGTTTGTTTAGTTTTTCTGGGGGGTTCCCACAGCAGTCCAGGGGCCATAAGGGATATACCAGTCAGTGCTCGAGATGTCCTGAGTCTGGGAATTGAACCCAGGACTGGGTGTACTTCAGGCATTTAGAGCTATCCCCTTGGCCCTGAATATCCTTTTATTGGGGGGCTGGGGGGGAGGAAACGATACTATACCCAGCATGTATTCCTGGCAGGCTTGGGGTACCATTTTGGGGAGTGGGGGATCAAATCCGGTGTGCTGCATACAAAGCAAACACCCTACCATTGTACTATTGCTCCAGGGCCCCCTGAATATCTTTCATCATCTTTTCCTCTCTCACAAATTTCCTCTGCACTTGACAAGTTGTGGATCATGGACAGTTCAATAGTTCTTGATAGATTTCTTTTCATTTTCCTTTGTTGGTTGTTTCTGTTCTGCCTCTCCTTTAAATATCACTATTTTCTCTGGCTCTACATATTACTTATTTCACCTAGTCTCACGGTACTAGTTATGCTGATTCCCAATTCACCATCTGTAGCTTAGATCGACTTCCTGATGTCCGGAAATCCACTGCTCTGTGGTATGACTGGGGACTCTCACTGGTCCACACTGGGACATGCTGTGAACTGTAAAATATACATGAGATTTCGTAGCTTCACTATAAAAAAGACATATTGCTAACACTAACCTTACACATTTCCACTTGTTTAAATGTGGCAGTCAGAATACTAAAATTACACTTGTGAATACAATTAAATTATTTTATAAGAGAGTTGCTTTAGATTAATAGGCAACCTTACTCTCAACACAAATGTCAGAAACTGAAAAAAAAAATCCCCCACCCCTTTTCAAAAATAAAACTGCTTCTTATCCAACACCGTAGTTGGACCCTTGAAGTGCATCTCTGCTCCTCCCTGAGCGTCCACTGTCAGTTCACGGCTCTGGGTTTGGCATCTCTTGAAGCCAGCTCCCTGGCCGCTGTTCGCACTTTGGCCACCACCACTTCCTTGGTTTCATTAACAATCTTTTCCATGTCATTCTTCATAAGAAAGGCCTTCCATGTATACCCTTCCTTGATTACCTCTGTCATGAAGTCTTGTGATAGTACTTTATTCCATTTAATCTCTTGACAAATCTTACATGCTTCTCATAATTCAGCCACATAATCTCAACATTACTTTAGTTTCTCTCAAAGTTCATAAACTCTTACCACAGTGTTTCTAGACTAGTCCTTTGTGCGAATACTCTTGTTGAATCATTTTCCATCCCCATCTCATTCAATGTCTTTCAAGTCCACCTATATCACTTCACCCCCTTCTTTGCTTAAGTGCTAGTTAGGAGTTCCTGTGTGTGTTTCCTGGGCTTCCTCCTTTCAGAGTCTCAGCTAGTCACTGCCAGCTGTCTATACCTTCTGCTAAACAACGGGCTATGTGAGAAACTCAACCACGTTTGTCAAGTCAGAGCCTTATCTCCAGTGCCTAGCGCATAACATGATATACATATATAGAACGAATGTTTGTTGAGTGAATAAAGTAACTGTTGGTGAAAGAGAGAACTCTAGGCTTTAGATAGCAAAACTTAATGGAACCTAATCTGACATAATAAAAACTAGAGTTATCGGCTAGTTTTGTGTACAGAGAGGACTTAAGAAGCCTGAGTGTATAAGAGGCCTTGAGCCCCAAAATATTAAAGATGTGTATTACATAATAAGGGAATGTTAATAACAATGATAGTGACAGCACATATTGCTTACTAAATACCCAGCATTATTTAGTGAGGTAGATACTATTATTATCTCCATTTAATAGAGAAACTGAAACACAGGATAGCAAAGTAACTTCCCAAGTCACATACTAGTAAATGGCTGAATTAGGGTTTAAATTCTGTCAATTTCGTCATTTTATTTTTTTGTCTTTTAGGGCCAAAACCGGCGGTGCTCAGGGTTTACTCCTGACTCTATGCTCAAAGATCACATTTGGTGGTGCTCAGGAGCCCATATAAGGTGCTGGGGATCGAACCCAGGATGGCTGTGTACAAGGCAAGTGCATTACCCACTGTCCTATTGCTCTGGCCCCCAGTTTCCCTGCAACCTGCATTTTAACCTCTACACAAAAATGTCTTCCAGAGCAACATAATCTTGACACTAACTCATTAGGCCACACAACTTGAATGAAGTTCTTCATAGAGAAATGGATGGCAAAAGTGTTCTTGGGTAATTGGAAGGGGTTACATTTCTCCAGAAATGAAAAGAAATGGGGTATCAGAGTCCTCAAAGCAGGAGAATTTTACCGTTGTTTGAAGGTAAGTTCTATCCCTTTAGTAACTTGACTTTGGGTATAACAGCTTAATAATTCCGTATGTTTTTCTCTGTGAAATAGCAGAACTTACCTTAAAACAACGGTGAAAAGTCTCCAGCTTCTCTCAGGCATTCAAATGCTGACCATCACTTCCTGTGTCAAACTATGTCAGCAGACAGGACTTCTGGCTGGGAAGTAGCAGTAAAAAGCCCTCTCCCACAGAGACATCCGCACTATTCACAGTCAGGGAGATAGTGAGACAGTGACGGTTGGTTTAGTAGTTTACCTAGCTCAAGGACTGGGACTTAGAATACATTGTCTGTGTTGTTCCTCAAGGACAAATTATTAGGGACAAAAGTGAGTTCACAGCCACCAAAGAAAGGCAAAACACTGACCTGTTCTCTGGCAGACCGAGAAGAGATTCTTTTATTTTAAAAATTACAACCAGGTAAAAAGTGAATAAAAGAAATCCTTTCAGTCGTGCCTAGCAGTTTATCCTCATCCATAGGCATAAAAGCTGAGAAGTTATCTAGACCAGAATTCTTAGGATCTTAAAAGATCCCTACAGTATGGAGCCAGAGATACAGGAAGATGACAAACACACCAAAACTAACACCTGGAAACAAATTTTATTCACAAATCTGGAGTTCCCCAAGAAACCAAATTCACCCTTGGGATATCACTCTGGGATAATGTATCATTCCTATTCGAATGAGCTCAAAACCTGAGGGTAGCACCATTAAGGGAGTCTCGTGTTGGTAAGACTTCCAGGTAAATCTCAGATTGGCACCTGCCACATTAAACGCTATAGATCCATAAGCGACCACCACAGGTGGGGGAGATGAAGAGCAGTATTATTAAAAATGTAGACAGTGTTTAATCGCCATTTATGGACTTAACAGGTAATGACAGAACATACCTTGCAAAGCTTTTGGATATGCTGTAGGAGAAAGCAAGCAGACTAGTGGCTGTCCAAATAAGTTTGTGAAATTCTGTAATATATAAGAATCAGAAATTTTTTTCATTAAAGATTTGACCAAAGATGCTTCTGTAGTAATTAAAAAAACAACAAACATATCAGTAGTGCCTGGATTGGGTCTTATGCTCATAAGCAGATGCAGAAACATCAACAGCTGAAGATACTGCCATTCTTATTTCCTTACCACTCATGATAAGCTGATAAGCTTTCTTAAAACAAGTTTATTAAGTGGACAATTGATTTTACAAATCAAAGCACGCACAGGGCTGCAGTGTTCCAGAGAGAGGTCACCTAGCTATCGGCCAAGAGGCCACTCTGCCTGGAAACACATGCCAGTACTTACAAGAGCAAAATTTTAAAGGCCTGTGGATCTGGGCCTCAGTCCCAGGGACCCTAAAATCTGACTAACTAGTATCGACAGTTATGAATCTTTCCTCACACAGAAAGATGTATAAAACCCAAATGTCAATGTGTTTATTGTGACAATTAAACAGAAAAGCTAGAAATACCCTCGCTCTAAAGGCGGATCAGTTTGGTGCGTAAAATCATGAATGGTCTGGTAATGCCACAAGAAAAATGAAACGCGGAGGAGTTCATTTGAAAAATCAAGAGAAAAAATGAACTTTAGAAGAACCCACTATTCTTGAAAGATAAAAATGAAGACTTGAGCAGAGGGAGAGAGAGATAAAGTTCTTAACAAGGCGCCACTTCTTCAGAAACCACTATACTCATTCACAAATCTTTAAACTGAGGGCCCTGAACCAATACAGCCTTACTGCCCCCTTTTAAGGCAAAAGAAAAATCACTCAATGGTCTCACGGAAATTCTACCTTTTCTAGGTGAACACGAAGAAGAGCCCCGGAATTGCTCTCTAAGTTACTATTGGCCCCCTGAAATATTACAGAGTCCCCCCCAGGGAGGAAGTATCACCCACTTGGAAGACAATGACATAAACTAATGTCAATGAAAAAGGTCACATTTTTCCCTCCCCCTTGAAATGAAAAAAAAAATTGTTTTATTTACAATTTTTTGGGTCACACCAGTGGTACTCAGACTGCGAGTCTGCGCTCAGAGATTACTCCTGGCAGTGTGAGGGCTGGTATGGGGTGCCAGTGCTGCGGAGCAAGCACTGTCCACTCTACCATCTTTCTGGCTCCCTGGAAACAGTCTCAAATTCATATAGAAAAAAAATCGTAAATACTCTGAAAACGAAGTGTGAAGAAGGGGAATAAAGTTCATCAGATAATTTATTTCTCTAGTGGGGGTTTTGGGGTCACCCCCAGCATTGCTCAAGGGTTACTTTCGGCTCTGTGCTCCGAGTGACTGCTGGCAGTGCTGGGGGCCATAGTGCCACTGGGGAATAACGGGTTTGGCTACACTGCTAGGCAAGCACCTTAACCACTCCATTATTCCTTTGGTCCCAGATAAACATACTTTAAGGGCTTAGCGATAAAAACTGAAGACCACTGAACTCAACAAAGCATATGGAATCATCCCCCCAAACAGTTCAAATGGGTGGAAAACTGAGAGGCCCTTGAGAAAAAGTCAACTCTACTTCACACCAAATACAGGAAAAATTCCAAATTAAATCAGAGTTAAATGCAAACAATCAGCAAGAAAATATAGTAAGAGTTTCTCTTATAACCTAGAAGATCTTCCTACCCATTATGATTAACTAAGATTTATAAACCCAGTTATTAAAAATATCAAAGAATTGTCTATACTGGGAGCCAAGAGATAGTTCAGTGGGTAAGGCACTTGCTATGCACACAACAAACCCGGGTTCAATTCTATGCATCCCACATGTGGCAGATCCAGGAGTAAACCCTGGTTCTATTCGCTTGTATGTGCATTTAAGAAAAAATTTCAAAGATAAGAGACAATGGGATCACTGACACAGAGACAGTAACTGATGGGATGCATAGTTAGAGAGAGCTTAGAGGTCTCACATACTCCATTTTGAAGCATTTTTGGGGTGACTGTGTGATTCTCAGTTAAAAATTAAATACTGAGCTTATTATTCCAACCTAGAGAGGTAGCTCAAAGGGCTGGAGCACCTTCTTGCATGCAGGTGTCTGCAGGGTCCTGCCACACAGCTACGAGCCACCCCGGAGCACTGAGCTCAAAGCAGCCCTCAAGAACTGCTGGGTGTAGTGCAAAAATGGAAGGAAGAAAGGAAGGAGGGAAAGAGAGGAGGGAAGGAGAGGAGAGAAGGAGAGAAGGGAAGGAAAGAGGGAAGGAGGGAAGAAGGAAAAGAAGGAGGGAAGGAGGGAGGGAAGGAGGGAAGGAAGGAGAGAGAGAAGGAGGGAAGAAGGTAGAGAAGGAAGGTTGGTTTTCTGTGATCAATACAGAAGGGATAAGCCAAATGAATCTTAAGAATCTTCCTCAGAGAAGAATTCAGGTAGCTACACCTGAAACAGAACCCACCTGCAATAAATGGCAGCTTCTGGGTCCTTTCCTCATACCCTGGCTCTGGGACTGTGCTAAAATAGACACTGCTGTTATTTATATCACAAAATTTCTTATTTGGTAGCATCTCTTGCTGGCCAACCTCTCTCTTTTGGTGTTTCAAACTTCTGCGTAGAAGGAGCATCAACAGGCCTTCCTGCTGTCCTCCAGGAGCCTCTTACAAGGCTGGCCCTTGGGTTGGTTCTGGAAGCAGAGCTGGGGAGGGTTTTCCCCAGGAGCAGATGAGAGGGGCTCCTGGTTCCCAGACTATGCAAACAAGAAGGCTTCTGCTGACCACGTGCTCCCCGCCTCTGGCCCCAGAGAGAGTGCGGCATTTTGGAATGTGCCATGCAGAAAATGCCTCTGGGACGAGACCCCAGTCCTGGGCCCTGAGTCCTTACCGAGCTTCCCTAGAGGACGTCCCCCCGTCCCGCGTCTTCTCCATCCTGGTTGGGTGACATGCCTCTGTCCTGAATGCAGGGAAGGGGCTCACGGAAGATTGCCCCTGCCTTGCCCTGGCCTGATACTTTTCAGTAGTGAGTATGGTTCTATGCTGGGAACTCTCGAGTCCCCACTGTGACCCGAATCTGGCAGGGCTGGTGGGGAAGGGTGACCTTGGGGATCTTTGACAAATATTTAATAACGACACCTTTTATCAGAGTATACTTTAAATTTTAGACCTAAAGGGCCAGAGAGAGAGTGCAGGGCTTAAGGCACCTGCCTAGCATACAGCAGCCCCGGGTCCAATCCCCAGTGCTATGCGGTCCTCAGAGCCTGTCAGGAGTGATCCCGAGCACAGAGCCAGGAGCAATTCCTGAGCAATGCTGGGCGTGGTCCAAGAATGGGTACCAAATCTCTATGCTTTACAAAATACCAGTGAGATAGATTCAGTTTTTCTTGAAACACAGTAAGCAGGTAAGACGCTTGCTTTGCATGCAGCAGACCCCAGTTCGAATCCCTGGCACCCCCAGCCCTGCCAGCAGCGATCCCTGAGCACAGAACCAAGAATAAACTTGAAATATCGCCAGGTGTGGGTCAAATTTCCCTTGCACGGAATACAAATAAAAATCCACTTTTTCCTTATTATCAACTGACACAATACACAATATTGTCTGATTTTCAAATATTTGACATGACTCAGATCAACCCTTTTGATTCACATCACTAGATATGTTTACTTGTATTTTTCTTTAGAGCTTTCATTTGCATGTGCTTTTCTAGTTTTGTCTCTACTGTTCTTTAGCGTTTACTGAGTGACTGAGTACTTCCTGGTGACTGTCTAAGGCTTCTGAGATCCTGACCTGCAATTGTAGCAATCCTCTAAGACAAGTATTGCCACCCCATCCTACAGAGAATGCAACAAGAGGCTCAGGAATAAGTGAGAACATGCTTGAAGAACATAGAACTATGACTTAAATTGAGTAGGGGACCATTTCCTCCCATTCCTCTGGAACTGTGTATTCCATTCTAAACATTTAAAAATACTTATGAGTAAACCTAGGAAATTTAGACTCTTATGGGAAATGTAAGACAACTCTGAAAATCTTCCTTTATTTCAACCCCAGTGTCTAGGCCTTCCAGATTTCCAATGCTTAGGATAATTTGAATTTCCAATCGGAAATTATGTAACTGAGACTTGAAAACATACAGTCCTTATAAAACAACACACAGCATGCTTTTTTTTTTTTTTTAAAGATCTCTTTGCAGCCAGATACTTGCTTGTGGCCAGCCCAGAATCAATCCCAGGTTCCCCTAAAAACTACCAGGTTCGCCTTGCAGTGTCCCGGCCCCCCTCCCCTGCACCAGTAAAAAAAGATCTCTTTTCTTTAAGAAGCATTCAGTAACCTATGGACGGGGTTCTATTCTGGGCCAAGGAACAGAGTGCCAAGAGAGCCAGAAACAACAGCCACCTGGCACCCTGGAGCTGCCTTAGAAGCAGGTGCATGAGGCAGGTAGAGACCCAAAATAAAGACATTATGTAACATCTTGGCAGGTGACAAGGGCTACATATGGAAACACAGCGCAGGGGACAGCCAGCAGCACAGACTTTCAGATCACACTGCGCTGGAATCCCGGCCAAGCCACACTCGAGCTGCAGGTGGGACCGAAGACGAGTGACTTAGGTGTTCCATGTCCTGTTTCTCTTCTCTGTAACACGGGGACATTGTGGACTTGCAGGAGGATTAAGCGCCCGAATATCTGTAAAGTGCATGGAGTGGTACCATGGTGATGTGTAAAAATTAACTCCTGAAAATCAAGGAAAAATGAAGCAAGAAAGGGCAGAGAAAAAGAGTGGTGGGAAGGTAGGTCTTTTGAAATAAGGCAACGGAAGAGGGAACCAAACATGCAAAGAACGCTGTGGGCATCTCTCCAGGAGGATTTAGAAACCCACCAGGTGGGGGTGAGGACCAGAAGGTGATGGGCGTGCAGGCCAGAACCATGGCTGGGACCCTGAGAAGAGCCGGGGAGATGCTCGGTGACAGTGATGGGATCTGACACACAGGCATGCTCCTAGGGGAGCACAGACAGCTAGCCTGGAAGTGATTAAGACCATGTGACACAACCTGTCGGACTGGGGGGCGTGATGGGGGAGTGGAGCAGGTGAGAGGCTCTGAACATCAATGGGAGTCAAAGGGTTTCTAGAAAGAGGCCGAGTGAGGGAAGGGAGTTGACTGTGAGACCAAGAACTTGGGGGGCTGCTAGAGCAATGGGCTGAGTTGCAGGCCTTGCCTGCAGGAGGCCTGAATTTGACCCTGGTACCACACGGTCCCCTGAGCACCACTGGGGGTAACCCACCACTCCCTATGGTGCTGGGAGTATCTCCCGGACACAACCAGTGTGACTCGGAACAAAAACAATAAATGATGAGCATCTATACAAACACAACCTTTATGACCTGACCTGGTGAAAGCTATGGGTGGAAGAGGGCGAACGCCTCTGTGTGCGGCACGTTTGGGTGGAGAGATAACGAAGAGGCTAAGGCATCTGCCTTGTATGCAGCTGACCCAACTCAATCCCCAGCACCACGGACGCTCCCCCAAGCATGGCCAGGAGTGAGACCTGAGCACAGATACAGGAGTCAACCCTGAGCAGTGCCAGCTGTGACCTAAACCTTTGCTCCACCCAAAATAAGCAGGGAGGAAAGATGAGAGAGGATGGAAGGAAGAAAGAAGGAAGGAAGGGAAGGAGGGAGGGAGGAAGGGAGGATGGGGGGAGGGACTTGTCAAGTGAAAGAGAGAGCAAATGGAATTTACAAGCTAGAATAACAAAAACACGGAAAACGGGCACAAGAGAGCACAGTGACAGGGTGTTTGCCTTGCATTCAGTTGCCCAAGTTTGATCCCTGGCACATATATGGACCCCCAGTACAGAGCCAGGAGTAAGACCTCAGCAAGGCCGGATGTGCCCTGCTCCCCAATCCAGAAACACAGGAAACAAAGGAGAAGTCAGGAGCAGTGAGGCCCTGCTGTGTAAACCATCCAAATTGCAGGGAGGGCCAAGCTAAGGGGGCTGGCACGCATACCTTGCCTACACAGGGTTCCATCCTTGGCCCTACATGGTCTCCATCTGGGTGTGACCCTGTTCGTCCCCACTAGTGCTGGGGAGAACAGACAGTCCCGGAGGAGGTGATTGGAGTACAGCCAATTATTAAGGGAAAACTGGTGGAGAATTTTCAAGCCATAATGAACAACTGCAACATACCAATTCAATAAATGTACCAAATCCCAACTGGTTACACAGAAAGAAACTAAGCCTACAGATATCACATGTAAGTCATAAAAATCAAGAGATGGTCTTTCCAAGCCAAAAGGAAGCAATGGAACCAGTCAGGCTGACTGGCAGAAGAGTCCTTGCATAACCCTTTATGAAGGTGACAGCTTTAACAGAGTGCAGCAGTCTGCGGCCAGCCAACCGTCAAATATTTTGGGGATGAGGCTGTTTAGATAAATATGTCTGTTCTGACAAATGTGTAAGTCATGTTCACTGGCAAGGGGCCAGCTCTGTCATAAATATTTAAGTACTCAAGGGATTTTCTTCTCCCAAAGAAAAGAAAGCAGAACTAAAGCTAGGTTTGCCCAGAATGACTGAGGGAATTTCTTTAACTCTCTGTAGTATTACGGTATTCAGATAAGACCACTTGAACTTGCCTATTTCCAAAAGCATACTTCTGAACATTTTGCTCAATAATGAAATATTCCAACCCAGGGCTTGTAAGATTTTTTTTTCATTTTCCTGCAAGTTAATAGCGTAAATCCCAATATCCCACTTTAAGGTGTTTCACTACTGGCATTGTTTATGTAATCATTGAAGCACTGCTTCAATTGCCAAAGCCAAGGATTTTCAAGTTAAGATCCCCACTACTCTTTTCAGCATCCAGAGTCATCTGTGTTCATCATCATTATCATCATAAATTAAAAAAAAAAAGTCAAGTGCACCTGAAGCAATCAGTGTTGAGAGGCAATGACATCACTATACCACAGAACCAAAATTTTACTTAAACTACAGTGGCTCAGTGTGCAGGAGGGGAGAAATTGGTAAACCAGAAAATAAAATTTGCCTAGATAAATCTACCTCTAGAAAAAGGAAATTATTCTGAGTTATATAACAAAAATAAACCTCCCACCAGAGATCTTGGAAATCTTGAATTTTTTTTCCTGCAGGAGGATTTATTATTTTCCACTGAGTGTCCAGTCATGCGTTTTCTTCTCGTGTCTATTCATAGCACCAGATCCTGACTAGCATGCACAACCTCAAAAGAAAAGAAAGACTAAATACGAACTGTGTAAAATTAAATGAAATAAAGCAAAAGCAAAAGGCACACATTAAGACTGGTTACCGGGGGTGGGGCCGGAGTGTCTCGCGCGCACGCAAGATCTCCCAGGACTCACCTTATAAGCGACGCTGTTGGATGAGTCCACAATGATAAACAGGGGCTTCCTTGTGAAAGGGTAGAGATCCCCAGGATGGAGGCTGGAAAACCACGACACCACAATGAGAACTTACACAGCGAACGCTTTAGAAATCTTTGTTTGGATCATGGCCACACCTGACAGTGCTCAAAAACTACTCCTGACTTGATGCTCAGGGGACCAAGTGGGGCCAGAAACTGAACCCAAGCCTCCAGCGAGGCACGCAAGTCAGCCCTGAGGGCTCTCTTTCTGCTCTAAGTAATTTTATCCTTCATGAAGTGACGCCCTGCATGTGTGAGGCCCCAAGTTCAATGCTCAGCACTCCAGGGTCCACCAAGCACCCTGGGACTGTATCTACTCAAAAAGAAAGCTAAATCTTATCCTTCAGTCACCTTTACAGCATGGTACTAAGGGAAAACTAAAGAATAATTTAGCAATAGACAAAATGTTTATTATATTTATTGGGAGAGAACTCGGCAGTTTACTTGGAATAATAAATTCATAGACAATTATTATTCGAAAATATTCAAGTTTAAGAGTAATCAATCAAACATAGAATGAAAATCTCACAAGTCAGTACTGAGGAATTTTCTTACTATCTGCAAGTCCCTTCTTTCTTTTATTTTTTTTTGGGGGGGGCGGAGAGGGGGTGGTTACTGGGTCATACTGGGCAGTGTTGGGTATACTCTTAGGTTGTAGTTCAGGGACCCATGTGGTGCCAGAAATACAGTATGCAAAGCATGCGATTCCTGCCCTCTGAGTTATCACCTGGCTCTGAAAATCCCTTTGTAAAAACATATTTGGGGATATACAGTGGGTAAGGCCTTGCATGCGGCCAACCCAGGTTCAATCCCTGACTCCTCATAGTCCTCCAAGCACTGCCAGAAGTGACTCCTGAGTGCAGATCCAGATGTAAGCCTTGAGTATCACTGGGTGTCATGCCAAAAAGAAAAAAAGAAAAACAAAAGACATGTTTGGGGGTCAGGATGTGGTAAAGTTCATACCTGCATGCACAAGGCCCTGATATTTGGGGGGGTGAGAACATGTAAAACAAAAGGAGGTTTGTATTTCAATGAGTTTCAAAATCTATATTTCAATGACCTTAATCTTTCAAATTACATATTAATATTAGAAAAATCGGGGAATAACTCCCAGTTTTGTATTCTTATTTCTGCTAGACATTTGTATCATAATCAGCTAAGGAAAACAATAACTGGTTCAGAAAAAAAAATCTGCATTTGAATCAAAGGCTAAAGTTTGAAACAAACATTTGAGAGTCACTGCTTAGGAATGCTACAATTTTAGTTTGCATGGACTTTTCCCATGGTTTAGTGGATAATGTACTAAGTACGTTACCAGTAGTGTAAATGCAAATATAAACAAAATGATATGTCAATGAGCAGCATCAAACTTCATTATATTTCAAATGCAAGTTTTTCTAATATTAATTATTTATAAATAAGGTCAATGACAACACCAATTTATGACTTGGGGAATAGTTAGCAACTATAACTATAATCTGAAGCATCTTCTTGTCTACCCTCACTTCCCCATTCTATGCAAAGTACTATTAGAAATGTAGTTACAATTAAGCACAGTAACCTTTATAACCATACTGCTTTCAGCTAAAGAAATTCCAGTCAATAATGGTAAAGCAATGAATGTGCTATTGTAGAAAAATAAATTGTGTTTGTGGATATAGCTCAATGGCAGAGTGCATCCCATATATATATATATATATATATATATATATATATATTCCTTAGTTTTATCCCTGGCACTACCCCACATCAGCAAATGCAATCCCAGGCACCATAACAAGTATGATCCCAGCATTGCAAGGAACAAACAAACAGAACAAATTTTCACAAATAGAATCCTATTTAAAAATCACTGACTCATGGGACTGAAAAGACCTGCCTTTCACATGGTTCAATCCCCAGCATCCCATATGATACCCCGAGCACTGCTAAGAGGAATTCTTGAGTGCAGAGCCAGGAGTAATCCCTGAGCACTGCTAGGTGTTATCTCTCCACCACCCCTCCCCCCCGCCAAAAAAAAAAATCACTCAATTAGGGCCAGAGATACAGTATAGAAGGCCCTTGCCTTAACTGCAGCTGACCCAGACTTGATTCCTAGCTTCACATAGGGTCCCCTGAGCACTTCCAGGAGTGATCCTTGAGTACAAAGCTAGGAGGAAGTCCTGAGCACCACTTGGTGTAAACCCAAATTATAAAATTAAGTAAGTCAATTATTCACATTTATTTGTGCTATATCAAACAGTAGAACCTTTTACTAGAAAATTGTATTCATGTTACTGCTGAGCATCCCCAGTGTGGCTCCCACACAAAACAAAAACAAAGAACAAAAAAAAAAAAAAGAAGAAAAAGATTAAACATAAAAATCTGCCAGAATAGTGAGACTCTGAAATTGTTTGGAACTAAAAAAACTGTTATTAATAGTGGTGTGAAAAACATTTCTAATTCTAAAAATACAGTGACTGTTTTTGTTAGTATTTTATGAGATAGCTAAAGCTTTATATTGCGGGAGACCCAGAGTACATACCAGTGCATTTCCTTGTGGGACTGATTTCGTTTGTGGATAGCATCTCCATTGATAATATCCCGGTTACTATTAGTTAGTACCCCTCCAAAATCATAAGGACCTATAAAACCAAAAGGAAGAATCCTAGACTTCAACTGGAGAGTGACATTGATCTGCTGTTCAAATACCCAAGCACTGTGTGATTCTCTCATTGCTACAAATGCAAGTTAAGTGCAAAACATTTTAAATACTTAAAAATTTAACATTTGAATTCAATGCACTCTTTAAATGATTTCAGTATGTTGCCTGCTTCAACATTTAAAAAAATCATTTAATTATTGGTTAGTTCTTCAAGCAGAGTACCATGAGAAACAAAACAAGCATCACTGTATCCCATTATTCTCGGAGTTAGAAGGGCGAGATACCGGGCTGCATCTCGCTCAGGGAGCACACACACCTTGCATGGTGGAGGCCCTGAGTTCCATCCCCAGCCATGGGAGTGGGTATAGGATAGAATTCTAGAATGTTCAAATAATCTTGACAGTAAGAGCAAAACTGAATTCCCAGGTTTTTTCAGAATTAAGAAAGGTTAGAATAAAACCTTAACACTTTTAACACAATATTAAGTGAATTGCTAGTTGTAAGTTAGAGGGCCTTATTTTAATAGAACTTGAAAATTCTAATTGGCAATAAAAATTTTGAAACATTTGCTTTTTTTTGCCACAGAGAGCAGTGTTCAGGGCTTACTCCCGGCTCTGCATTCAGGGATTACTCCTTGCAGGCTCAGCAGATCATATGGCATGCTGGGGATTGAACTCAGGTTGGCCGTGTTCAAGGCAAGTGCCCTACCCGCTGTGTTCTCCATTCCTAAATTTTTATTTTTAATGCCAATTTTGTCTGCAAAAATTTCAATACTGTGAATATTATATCAATCTCTATACTCCTCGTTTTGAATTGACCCCTTTTCTACTGGTTATATCATAACAGCTGAACTCTTGCTCAAATGAAACACCAACTATGAAATGTTCAGAATAATTTCTCATTCAATTAGTAAAACAAGAGTTCAATGTGTAGGCCGAGGCTCAGAAAATCTGATTTTACATATACACTATAAAACAAAAATAACCATAAGTAAAATTATTAACTTTACTTTAAAAAATGAATATAGTTCATGATTTCACCTCACTTCTAATGCTGAGTTATATTTTATCCCTTTAAAGAATCACTACAGAGATAAAATTCTTTGAGACTTGTTTTGTTTTGCTTTGATTTTATATAGTTTCAGAGGATCTGTAGATCATGCAGGGAAGATGGCAGGGACATGCACTGTATAAAGGAATGCAAATTTCAACAAACAGATGAAGAGGAAAATGTGAAGAATAAAATTTTTTGCCCTTAGATAGAATTAACCGTATCTGATGTCTCATCTGCTCTGACCAATTCCACATTATTTTGGACAGTTTTCAGTTTTTATTCTGAAATGGCATCCCAATATTCTACAAGCTGTATCCAGAAAAACCAAATCAATGACAGAAAACAAAACCATGACAAGGACTTGAACTTTCACAGTTACAAAAGTGCACTGATTTCTACAAAGACTTTCAGCCGCGCAAAGCCACTGACCAGATTCCCTAACGTGTTAAAGGGTTAGAAAAAGTCAATGAGGTAATGTAAGTGATTGGCCTTGGTTATTCAATTATCCTTTGCAAATCTGATAGTGAGGCATGTATTTGAGATGTGGATTTACTGATGATTTACATACTTTGACCTACAATATCTCAGCAAATAAAACAGACTGGGTTGTCTGCAAGATTTATTCAATTCTGGCCAATTCAGCAAGTAGACCAGGCTTCAAATTTAGAAGCTTCCCTAGAAAGCTTGAGATGGTCTGTGGGCTGCGGGCCATCGTCTTGTAGAAAATAAAGAGAATTCAAGCCCCGCTCACAACAGGGAGCATTCCTTTATTGTACCTTCACTATCAGAACGACCTGTGGGGAAAACGCCAGTGGCTGACAGGTAAATCAGAAGCACACTATTGGCAGGCAGCTCCTGAAATTAAAGAACACAAATACAACACAACAAAGAAAGGAAACAACAGTTTTATTTAAAGGTGGGGATATCTGAATGCAGGGGGTGGGCAGGGGCAATCGGAATTTGTCTTTTCCAAGGAAAGCCATGCTATTATTGCCACTGGTCTGAAGACATTACATTCACTGCTTCTGAAGCCTGATCATTGTGAAACTTGAGAGGGAAAATAAAGTTTCTGAGTACAGGTGTCAGAGATCAAGCCAAGGATGCCGCTCATGGTCACCCCTGGGAGGAAATCCCTATTAATAGATTTTGCTGATGACCAAAACGCTTCTGAGAGCTGCGTGGATACAGAACATGTCTAAGCAACCACCTCCATGTTTTAGCTCTGACAGACTCACACGTCTAATAGAGTTTAGGAATAAAAACCTGCAGAAGGAGAGTAACAGTTTGCCAATACTTTCATTAGTTAATGATAAGGAACACATAAGCAATTTCTTTTTCAAAAATAGCTATGATGACATAGGGAGTGGGGGGGAAAAAAGCCATGAGTAGGCCATTCTAAAGGCCATTTTTGCTTTCTGTGATTTATCTAAACTCTTGACTCAGATATTCAAAGAGAAGCACGGCTCTTCAGGACACATATGCCCCACACAGTACCAAGTCTCACATCACATATACCTTAAAAGAGGCTGCTAAGAATGTGTACAACTGGCTGAAGGTTGGTTTGTAGAGCAGATACTTGTGAGGGTTTTCTCGTCTTGTAGGCTTGTCAGCAGATTCCTACATTTAAACACAGAAGACATTATTCATACAAACTGTATTTGACAGATGAAGTATCATACCTTTTTAATTATTTAATTTTATTTTTTGGTGTCATATTACAGAAATATTTAATTATTTATTCAATAGGTAGAAAATAGTACTTCTGAGTAGGTATTTTATATATATGTATACATATTATATGTATATGTATTTTTTTATTCAGAAAATCTTTTATGTTATTTTTCTTGTTGAATTTTCAAGTATTTGAGTTTCCCCCATTTCTATCTATGGTTAGTCTCTTTCTCATAGCATCGTGGTCTGAAAGAATAGATATTATTTTTACCATCTTGATTTTATGGAAATGTCTTGTGACTCAAAATGTGGCTTACCTAGAAGAATGTCCCACAATTTTTATTTATTTTTGGGCCACACCTGACTGTGTCCAGGGCTTATTCCTAGTTTTGTGTACAGGGATCACAACTGCCAGGGCTTCAGGAACCATATAGGAAACCCATATTGGCAGTGCTCAAGGCAAGTACCCTGTCCACCGTACTATCTTCTCTAGTCCCTATTTTTTAATTTTTACTTTTTCTGGGGGTGGGGGGAGACATGGTTAGGCCACACCTGGCCCAGTTCTTACTCCAAGCTGTCAGCACCTATTTTTACTATCTTCTTCATCTATTATCTTTCTTTCTTATTCAGTGTCACTATGATATTTATGTCTCCTGTGTCACATAAAAAAGGAATCTTTATACATACTTGGAACTTTGTTTTTGTTTCTGGGCCACACCAGGCAGTGCTTGGAGCTTACTCCTGTCTCTGTGCTCAGGAACCACTCCTGCAGGTGCTCAGGGGACCATATGGGGTCCCGGGGATTAAACCTGGGTTGGCCACATGCCAGGCAAGTGCCCTACTGGCTGTACTGTCTGGCCCCAAGCAGACACAGTACATTTCCTCTCTCTTTGATTCTCTTTCTCCCTCTCTCTTTTTTTTGCATTTTGGAGGCACACCTGGAAATTACTCCTGGCTATGCACTCAGGGATCACTCCCGGCAGTGCTTGAGGAACCATGTGGGGTGCTGGGGATTGAAGCCGGGTCAAGTGTATGCAAGGTAAGCACTGTGCCCACTGTTTTACCTCTCCACACTTTGAACATCTGTTGGATAAACAGCATTCCATGAGAAGGGGAAGGAGAAAATGTTACCAAAATTGCAAATGTAGGGAGTCCATCACCTGCATCCCTGGCTTATTCATCTGGGAAGCTAAATTCATTGGCTCCCTTTCCAGGGCTTGTAACATCCGGAACATGTCTACAGTTAGTTCACTGAACTTCACCTGCAAGGAAAAAAACCTGACCGTTAGAGTAGCAGGCTGGAAATTTTCACCCATATCAATCATCATCACTACTTATGGAACTTAGAACACTGGCTATTCCAGGCATGAGCCGGCGGTGACGGTGCAACTGAAACCTCATGGGAAGGGGGACGTTCCCGGCTTGTCCCTCATGTCCTACCGAGGTCACAAGTTGCTCCCCATAAGCGGCTATCCGGCACGGCCATGGCTCCAGAAGCACAAGGACATAATGCAGAGCCCGGCACACTGCAGCAGAAAAGTGAACGGACTATGCGTCAATCCACCCTACCATGCCTGCCCAGGAGGGAAAGGGTGTTGCTCCCTTTCGCCTTTTTCCCCCTGGGCAGCAAGATGGTGGCCTCCTTGGAGCCTTTTGGAAAGCCAGGTATGAGCCGGCAGTGACGGAGCAACTGGAACCTTCTGGGAAGGGGAGCATTCCCATCTTGTCCTTCACACCCTACCGAAGTCACGAGTTGCCCCCCACGAGCGGCTCTTCAGCACGGCCATGGCTCCAGAGCCACAGATACCATTCTCGTAATTATCTGGCTCGTGGCAGAAATACCTCCAGACTTAATAAGTAAAATATCAGAAATCCAAGCTCGCGTGGCCACTATTGTAGCCACACGACTTCATATGGTTCTCATAACTAACTGTAGAAAACAAATTATTTCACAATGCCTTTTCAGCAGTTCTGATTGTTGGGTGTAAACTGTAAACAATAATGGTGCATCTTTTGTCAAAATAACGTAGTCAAAGTAGATAGAGTGTTAGGTAGAATTCATCTGCCTCACAGGTATTGGGAGGGGTGGCGTGGGGGTATATTGAGGTTCTTGGTGGTGAAAAATAAGTACTGTTGGAGGGAAATGTATTTGATCATTGCATAACTGAGACTTAAACCTGAAAGCTTTGTAACTTTTCCCACAGTGATTTAATAAATAAATATAAAAATTAATAAATAAAACCACAAAAAAAATAAAAAAGAACACTGGCTGTTCTATCATCCCATACTTTACTATGCAAGATTTCAAAACTTAAAGACTTCTGAGACACCCATGTGTTTAACGTCTCCATTGGAGACTTTGTTGTTACTGTGTTTGGCATATCGAATGCGTCACGGGGAGCTTGCCAGGCTCTGCCGAAGTCCTGTAATATCAACATTTTTCTATAGCTGCTTTATTATTCATCCATTCATCCATCCCTCTATCCTTTTTGCTTTTTGGGTTATGCTCAGGGTTTAGTCCTGGCTTTGAACTCAGGTTGGTCACATGGAAGGCAAATGCCCCTATCCATCCTTCTTGAGATCTATCAATTCTCACTGTAATTGCAAGGGGTCTTTTATGCAATGCAATACTTGCTGCCCCAAACCAGAGAGCTCAGGCCTAGCAATGAGAAACTTCCCTGGCACAATGGTTATAGGGACCACCAGCCCTACACCTGTGATGTGGGGGGCACACTACGCTGGGATCTGACTCGGGGCTTTGTGCCTCCCAGGATGTGCTTTAGCCATCTGCGCTGTCTTAACGTGATCAAAGAGTCTTCACGTTTCACACATTCCCCACCAGTTACCGCTACACAAGGGAATCAGAAAAGGCCTTCAGACCCACACTTTAGAAGATAATTAAGTGAAACCTCTGAAGGGCTAAAAGTCTACAACGCAACAGCTCGAAAACAAAAGAATAGTGATATTTTAGGCAAATAAAAATGGAAAAATTCATTGCAAGATATCTGAAATTTTTTTTTTTAATAATGAAAAGAGCACAGATATAGCTCATGGTTGAGGACATGCTCTGCATTTGTGAGACCTTGGGTCTGATCCCCAGCACCTCAGAAAAAATGCAAGAAAGAAAGGAAGAAAAAGAAAAATACTAACACAGAAATCAAATGATGGCAAATGCAAACACAAAATGCAAAAAAATACTTAAAAAAAGAATTCAGATGAGAGCACGTTTTCTATAGTATAAAATACAGAGAATTAAAAAGCGAAACATAATAATTTTGTTTTACTTTGTTTTAAACAGGGCCTACTCTTGGATGTGCTTTCAGGGATCACTCCTGGCCATCCTCAGGGGACATTAAGTCACAGCAGGACGAACTGGGGTTGAGCATGACAAGCAAGGCTAGTGCTTACCCCCATGCTATCTCTCTGACCCCTCAGAGTGAATTTGAAACATAACTCCTTCACAATTCTTTACCTGGTTGTTACAATTACCAATAATGAGTGCATCGGCCAGAGACAACTGTCCCACAATCATGCCCTGTTCCAGCAACGGGGCTCCTGTCTCGGCGAGGCGATTTGATGTGATGACAATAGTATTATCATCATTTAATACCATTACAGGATCAGCCTGGAGGAAAAATAGAAATTAACTGATAGCCAACACAGAATATCAATATAAGCTATTCTTTCTTCTTATCCAGCCAGTAAAAATGTAACCCACATTGGCATTTACTTTTTTTTGGGCGGGGGGTTGGGGGGGGAGTTTGGGCCACACTTGGTGATGTTGAGAGGTTACTCCTGGCTTCTGAACTTAGGAATTCCTCCTGAGGTACTGGGGGACCATATGAGATTCTGGGTCTCAAACCTGGGTTGGCTGTGTGCAAGGCAAAGTGCCTTACCTGCTGTATCATTCTGGCCCTGCATTTACTTAATTATGACCTTTCTTATCAAAAACTGACCTCAATGAAAGCTGCTACTTCTTGAAGCACCAGGTTCCATTCCACTTGATCTTCAGTATTGAAACGGTGAGTATAATCCTCAATTTCATCTGACAATTCCTGATTCAAAAAATCACAAAGGAAAATGGTTATACTAAGAAAAATAAGATTATTGTTTTTTACCATATTCTTAAGGGAAACTTAGAGGGATAAAAAGCTTGAGTATCATCACTATACAGTCCCAACAATAGCCAAAAATAGACTAAAAACTATAAGTGACTTTCAAATACAAAGTATAGGATACACATTAGTAAGATTTTCTGAGATTCCACTACCTACTCAGTGTTCATCAGTAAGTTTGTGAAAGCAAACCCTAAATTTTTAACATTTACACTAAAAGAATATTTTTCAGTTGATTCTCTTCGGATTTGTATCACAAGGTTTTTTTTTTTCTCCCTTTTTGGGTCACACTGGCAATCTCAGGGGCTACTCCTGGCTCTGCACTCAAGAAGTACTCCTGGCAATGCTCAGGGGACCATGTCAGGTGCTGGGGATCAAACCCAGATTGGCTGCGTACAAGGCAAATGCCCTACTCATTGTACTATCGCTCTGGCCGCTTACATCAGTTTTTTTGTTGGATTAATAATAAGACATAGGAAAGAGAGAGAACTTGCCAAAATTATCACAATATAACTGAGTACCAAAAATAAACAAGGATGAAACCATTTACTGAATAGCGTGCAAGCAGAATGTAGAATGTAAGAATTATAGATACTGAGTGGATGTAAATGCAGATTATTCTTAGCTAGCTGAGTTAACAAAGGATTGAGTGATGCAGCCAGGCCCCGAGATGGAAAAACCAAAACACAGAAATATGAAGCATGAGCTCTTCCACTGAACACATTCACAGTTCTTTTTCTTTCTTTCTTTCTTTCTTTTTTTGGCTCTTGGGTTACACGCAGCAATGCTCAAGGCTTACTCCTGGCTCTGCACTCAGAAATTATTCCTGGCGGTGCTTGGGGGACACTATGGGATGCTGGGGATTGAACCTGGGTCAGCTGCATGCAAGGCAAATGCCCTACTCGCTGTACTATCGCTCTGGCCCACATTCACAGTTCTTGAACTGAAACTTTTGTTGCTGTTATTTTGGGGCGACACCAGGTGGTACTCAGAGACTGCTCAGGATCACTCCCAGGAGTACCACCCACACATGAAGCATGTAATCAGCTCTGTTAACTAACTCTCCAATCCTACATCTTTCTCTCTTTTTCTTTCTCCCTCCCTCCCTCCCTCCCCCCTCCCTCTCTCCCCCCCCTTACACACACACACACACACACACACACACACACACACACACACGGCAACGCATAGGGGCTACTCCTGGCTCTGGATTCTGTGCTCTCGGGGGACCAAATGGAATGCCGGGAATTGAACCTGCGTTGGCCGCATGCAAGGCAAATGCCCTACCCACTGTACTCTGACTCTGGTCCCTATCTGCCATTTCTAATCATCATCCACTGATAGGTGGTACAAGGTAAAACATGATACAGGTAAGTATCTCTCACTGGTGAACAACTGAGGGAGAAAACAGAAGGATCTTTTATCAATACACTCAGAAGTTACCATATTTTGAATGTTGTCATAATTTGGTTATAGCAAAAATTATTAAAAACTTTCAATTATGTCTTTCAAAAACAATCAACTTATTGATTTTTTATTTTTGGTTTGGGGGTCACAATCAGTGGTGCTCAGGACTTACTCCTGGCTCTGCACTCAGGGATCACTCCAGACAGGGCTCAGGGGACCCTACGGGGTGCCACAGATTGAACCAGGATCTGCAATATGCAAGGAAAGTGACTTAACCAGCTATACCATTGCTCCAGCCTCCTTTAACTTACTGAGGTAAAGTTAGTTTCTCAGAGTGCAAATGTTGAACAAAATGAGTCAGAGGGAGAGGGACAGACACAGAATGACTGCATTCATTTGCAGGATGAAACAAAAACAAAAAACATAGTACGTGAATAATTCCCAAAGACAGTAGGAACAAGGACCCGGAGGACTGGTCCATGGTAGGAAGACTGCCACAAAGGGGACAGAGGGGAGGGGGGAGGGCGGTTAGGACAGAGGAGGAAGCACCATGACAATGACAGCTGAAAATGACAAAAACTCTGGACAAAAACTGAGTGCTGAATGGAGGTAAAAGTGATATGCATGATGCCCCTTTCGTAACAGTACTGCAAAACACACTGTCTAAAAGGAAAATGAGAGTGGGGGGAGGGAGAGGAAGGGAAAGTGTCTACCACAGAGAGGCAGGCTGTCTAGGGAGGGTGGGCAGGAAACTGGGGTCAGTGGTGGTGGGAAATGTGCATTGGTGAAGGGACAGGTGTTTGAACATTCTATGACTCAAATTCAATCATGAACAACTTTGTAACTGTGTATCTCACTGTGATTCAATTTTTTAAAAAATGGGGAAAATATTTCTATTTGGGGGATTCAATGTTACCACTTAATCTATTAAAAGGACAAATAAAAGAACAAATAAGGAGGCTGGAGCGATAGTATAGGGGGCAGGGCATTTGCCTTGCACAAGTCTGACCCGGGTTCGATTCCCAGCATCCCATATGGTCCCTTGAGCACCGCCAGGAATAATCCCTGAGTGCAAAGCCAGGAGTAACCCCTGTGCATCACCGGGTATGACCTAAAAAGAAAGAAAAAAAGAATAAATAAAATCAATTAAAAGGACAAATTTAATAACAGGAGCCAGAGATGCAGCTCCCTTGCATGTGCAAGGTCCTGGGATTAATCACCAGCACAGGCTGGGGGTGGGGGTGTCAGGAGAATCTCTACACAATTACATATAAGAACTTTAACTGTTTTACAGTGCGTTTACCTTTACCAGATCCTTCACAACATCCATTTTGTTGAGAAGAAGACAAACTACTATAAATCTTGCGTAGTATCGTAGTTTCTTGACTACTAACTCAGGTCTATAGTAGATAAAAGAAGAAAAAAAACATCATTCAGAAGAAAATATGTCTTTTAATATTTCCAACTTTCTAATAGCCTTGAAACCCATTTAGTCTTATTTCGCACTTACAAAGATCTCTGCTGATTCACTATACTGCTCATGTAGCGAAAGTATGATCTGAAAAATACCTATTGCACAGGAAGACTAGGCATCAGGCAGATGCTAAGTGTTAGAAGTACCATAATTAAAAAAAGAAAAAAAAACTCAGACCAAAGTTCAACAGACCGAGTGCATGCTGGAGATATGGGTTCAAGTCCCAGCAAGACATGGTCCTCTCAGCCAGAAGTGACCTGCAGTCACCCCACTGAATGCTAATGGGTGTGGTCCCCAAACAATTAAAAATATTATTACAGATAGAGGCTTATTTCATAAATGATAAAAGGCAACTTATTTTGTTAAAAAATAACAAAATCCAAGATTTTTTCATATTCAATGCAGCATAATAATAAATCAGGAAGTGGCATACGTAGGAAAAGGAATTAATAAATGGTTTAATATATACAAATCTTTAATAAACTGTATTTAATAATCTATATGCAAAAAAAGCAAAAAGATTTAAAAAAATTCGGGAGCAGAAATGCTCCTTTAATGGGCATTAAACCACATATAACAAAAACAAAAACATTACTTTCAAGCTTATATGAAATGAACATTCAATTTTATCTAGCTAATTCTGCTCATTAGACATGGCGCTGAGCTCCAAGCCACCCACATGCCAGGGAGAGACTCTTGCCCAGGCCCTGCGGGAGCGGCCCGGGGCCCAGGCTGGGCACTGGGGACTGTTTCGGGGAGAGGAGTAGCGTGGCAGGGAAGAGAGCAAAGATGGGGGGAGGTAAGGAAGAGGGCCCGGGCCACCGGCCCCCAGATGCTGGGGACTGGAATCTGAATTTCTTCTTGCCATAAGCTGGGTTCCAAGGAGTGGATGCCTTTGGGGAGAGCTGCTCAGGGAAAACAGGGCAAAGTTTCTTTGGAAATTTGTTTGTTTCAGTCACACCCAGCGTTGCTCAGGGCTTACTCCTGGCTCTGCACTCAGAGATCATTCCTGTCACTTCCCCAGGGTGTTGGGGCACAAATTTAGGTTGGCCCCATGCAAAGCAAGCCACCTACTGGTTGTACTATCATTCTGAGTCCCTGGATTAGGTAATTAAGGCCATGCATGAGGCCCTGAGTTTGCTCCCCGGCACCACTAAATATAAGCTTGGTGATCCTGAGCACTACCGGCTGTAGTTCTGGTGGCCGGGAGCACTGCAGAGGTGAGCCTGGTGGCTTCAAGCACCAGGAGGCCCAAGCAGAACTGAGACCTGAACAACTGGGCCCATGAGAGCTGAACACGACCCACAAGTGCCCAAGGCAGTACTTGGGATCACTGCCCATCTCCCAAAAATTTAAATGCAAGAAGTATTCCAAGGGGGCTGGACCGATAGCACAGTGGGTAAGGCATTTGCCTTGCATGCGGCCGACCCGGGTTCAATTCCCAGCATCCCATATGGTCCCCCGAGTGCCACTAGGTGTAATTCCTGAGTGCATTTGCCTTGCACGTGGCCAACATGGCCAACCCGGGTTCGATTTCCTCTGCCCCTCTTGGAGAGTCCGGCAAGCTACCAAGAGTATCTCGCCCACACGGCAAAGCCTGGCAAGCTACCCGTGATGTATTCAATATGCTAAAAACAGTAACAACAAGTCTCACAATTTGTTGTGAGATGTTACTGGTGTCCGCTCAAGCAAATCGATGAACAACGGGAGGACAGTGCTACAGTGCATGAGCCAGGAGCAACCCCTGTGCATTGCTGGGTGTGACCCAAAAAGAAAAAAAAAGCAAGTATTCTAAGCTCCCCAGCTTGGGTAGAAAAAATGACCACAGCTTGCTGACCACACATCCAAAACCCACGTGGAAGTGGCCAGCCGAATTCTGCTCTGTGAACCACCAGGCTGAACTGCAGCAAAACAAAGGTGAAATGAATCAGTGCTGCTCACTGACACCGAAGGGCAGCCAGCCCGGCCTCTAGCCGCTCCGCATCCTACTGCAGAAGGAGGAGGCTCCCGCAAGGGTCCCCAAACCAAGAAAGTGCCCAAGTTTTCAAGTCCAGATTCACCTTCCCCACCATCACCACCTTTATGAAAGCTGACCCCTGGATGCTTCTGACAAAGTTCTTTGGGCACCCGGAAGGGCAGCCTCGCCCACCTGTCTGGCACCATGTCACCTGTGAGACATGGGCTCTTAGACAAGAGACACTTCATCCAGGTGCCTAATTACATCTGCCCCTGGCTCATGTGCATATTATTAGTCATTTGCAACAAGCAAGGCTCTCATCTCCTAGCGGCTGTGATTATGCGATAGCAACTCTCAGAAGCAGAAAGGGCCCCGGGAAGGAGAGGTTCTGCGGACGAGGCTTCCCGACACACAGGCCACCAGGGACTGCTGGCGGGTACTGATCCTACTTAGATACAATCTCAGGCACTGAGACAGCTCAGAAAGCACTTGCCCCGTGGAAGAGATTTCTGCCTTTTGAAGCAGCTATGAAATTTGTAGAATATTTTCTTGTTTTTTCATCTATAGGCAACAAATGACTTACCAGCTGCACCAAGTCTTTCCTGAGACCCAGAGAAGGGCCAGAGCTTACACAGTGCTGTCTTTGCCTCTTACTAAACTGTTGGGTTTTGAGGCTATACCCAACAGTGCTCAGGAGCTACTCCCAGCTCAGTGACTGGAGAAACCTGTTGGGCCAGGGACAGGATCTGGGCTTCCTACATGCAAAGCTCAGGCTCCAGCTGATGAGCGATATCTGTCTTTGATTCCAATTTAGTGGCTTTAGGCAAGAGAGTTTATTATCCTGGTTCCCACTAATCCTGCTCTGTTCATCTCTCCTGCTGGAGGAGGCAGCACAGGAAAAGAATTCACAAGTGCTGTCTGCTTATAGGAAATGATAGGAAATGACTGGAGCTCAGCTAACAGTCAGGTTTTAAGTCAAGGGGTCCAAGGTCAACTTCCTTTTGGCAAATTAGATAATGTAAAGAACTGTATTATCCAAGGTATCCTACTATTGCTTTAAAATAGTTTTCTCCTTACAGATATTTTTTCACAGCAGCAAGATATTAATAGACTGTTTGTACTTGTTTGGGCGCCATACCTGGTGGTGCTCAGGGCTACTCCCAACTTGCTACTCCAATTCCTACCAGCAGTGCTCAGGAAACTGTATCAAGGATGCAGCCCCGGGTTCCAGTGTGCACTCAGTCTGCCGAGTCATCTCCCCAAGGCTCCAAAAGCATCAACTGCATTTCATGGTCACGGTCACGGTCCTCCCGTTGTTCATCGATTTGCTCGAGTGGGCCCAGTAACGTCTCTATCATGAGACTTGTTGTTACTGTGTTTGGCATATCGAGTACGTCACGGGGAGCTTGCCAGGCTCTGCTGTGTGGGTGAGATACTCTCAGTAGCTTGCCGGGCTCTCCGAGAGGGGCGGAGGAATCGAACTCGAGTCGGCCATGTTTTAGAGATGCAATTTATCTCACAAAAATTTGGATTGATTGTACAATATAAAGACACACATAAAATAAAGATTTGGAGGAAATCAATCTGTAGTGAAAATAAGTGAAGCAAACCATAAAATATCTGAGGTTTGAAAAGGAGCCAAGATGGGGCTGGAGCAATAGTACAGCGGGGAGGGCATTTGCCTTGCACATGGCCAACCGGGGTTCGATCCCCAGCATCTCATATGGTCCCCCAAGCACTGCCAGGAGTAATTCCTGAGTTTGCGCTAGGAGTAACCACTATGCATTGCCAGGTGTGACCGAAGAAAGAAAGAAAGAAAGAAAGAAAGAAAGAAAGAAAGAAAGAAAGAAAGAAAGAAAGAAAGAAAGAAGGAAGGAAAGAAAGAAAGGAAGGAAGGAAGGAAGGGAGCCAAGAGATCTTCTGATAGAATAAGGTAAAGGTAAAAGGTAAAGGCCCTCCCGTTGATCGTCGATTTGTTCGAGCGGGCCCAGTAACGTCTCCATTGGAGACTTTGTTGTTACTGTGTCTGGCATATCAAATACTCTCGGTAGCTTGCCGGGCTCTCCGAGAGGGGCGGAGGAATTGAACTCGGGTCGGCCATGTTGGCTGCGTGTGTAAGGCAAACGCCCTACCCGCTGTGCTATCGCTCAGGGAACTGCTTAAAGACATTGGAGAGAAACGTGGCATTCAGCATCTATCCCCCTTGGATCAAGCAAACTCCTCTAGAGAAGTCTGAACAAAATCTTTCAGGGAATAAAAGGGGTTTTGTAGGAATGGGGTTTTCCTCCAAAATGACACGGTTCAGCTGAGAAGCATATGACAGCCAACAACAGAAACTCTAAAAAACATCTTAAAACTACGAGTTCCTCTGCTGCTAAGAGAATATCATCTTTTCACTCTACCAACTGTGAGTTCTGTTGTTGGGAATAGACAGAACATTCGGATCTTCTACGCCTGAGCTTAATCTCCTAATAATTCTTAGAATGTTAGCACTAAAGATTCTTCAACAGCAGCTCACTGATTTCTTCAGCCATCGCATCACTATCTGGAATCAGTGACACCACCATCTACCTGTAACCCATGTCAGTAACTCTCAGATAAGATAACCCTCTAAAAATTTTTAAGTACAACGTTTTCTTTTCTATTTTCTTCTTCCCAAACACCTACCAGAATGCCAAATATACAAATGCTCAACAGATGCTGACTGAGAATGAATTCTATATGGCTTTTCCACCAATAACAGGAGCTGCATAGCTGAGAAACAGAACTGGAATTTTTTTTTTTTTAATTCTAACAGTTTTAGTAGCCTTTTCTTTAGTCCCACAGGAAAGCTGCTCATAGTTTTTAATGTATGTAAATTAAAATTACACAAGCTAAAAAGAACAAAGATTCCCAGCTAAACTTTGCTTTAAAGTTCTTCCTTTTCTAAGAAACTCTGTGTGACCCCATTCTCTCTTAAACAAATAATCCATCTTCAGTGGTCTGATACTGCCTTGTTATTGTCATGTCAGTTACAACCTTCATAATATTTGCTTTTAGGAAATGTACATCTGTTTGCTTTAGAATGCCAAGTAGCACTGTCCTCCCATTGTTCATCGATTTGCTCCAGCGAGCACCAGTAATGTCTCCATTGTGAGACTTGTTACTGTTTTTGGCATATTCGAATATGCCACGGGGAGCTTGCCAGGCTCTGCCGTGCGGGCGGGATAGTCTCATTAGCTTGCCGAGCTCTTGAGAGGGATGAAGGAATCAAACCCAGGTTGGCCATGAGCAAGGCAAACGCCCTACCCATTGTGCTGCAGGTACACAATAAAGCCCATTAAGAAATGGAAGTTATAAGCACAGAAGTTATAAATGTTACTTTTCTGCACATTTTCTGCGCACACTGAAATATTTGAGTGTTTGAGTTTTCTCTTTCTAAAATTATGATACATACCTGTCCTCCTTATTGACTTGGGAATAATATGACCTCTGTCTGATTGCGGAATAGAATGAGAACGCCTCATTCAGGTAGCTGGTCTCAGATGTGCGTAGGCTATGAGGAAAAAATATCTTTAAAGTTGACAGTGTCTCAAATTCTTCTCCATGATAAAAACTCACACCATCACTCGCTACTCTTATACATAAAGGGGTGGGAGTTTCCTATATTTTATTCAGCAAGACAAAAACTATCACCCTTAAAATGTGTGGAAAAAAACAATAATGATCATGCTGTTTTAAAGGGGAAAAAACCTCCCCACAGCTCCTGGTTCTTTTTTACTTATTTTTTTGATGGCATTGCTAAGGGCACATTATTTTCACACTTGAAAGGGGCTTTCCAAGCAGTGCCCCCCTAGTCTCCTACTGGGTCAGACCTTTCACAGCCTTCTCCAGTTCACAGAGTCAATTATCCTTGGGCTCATTTCTTTACTAGTGTCTTCCCACAGGATTCAGAAACAGACTAAACTTCAGAGAATTTTAATCTCTGCTTAATCATTTCTACAAGGGACTCAGTAATAAAGTTACTTGAGGGGGTCAGAGCTATAGTTTAGCAGGCAGACACTTGTCTTGCATGCAGCTGACCCAGCTTCGATCCATGGCACCCTACAGAGTCCCCTGAGCCCCGCAAGAAGTGACTCCTGAGTGCAGAGTCAGAAGTAAGCCCTGAGTACCACCAGATATGACCCCAAAAGAAAACAGATAAAAAAGAAATCAAAACAAAACAAAAAGAGTCAGACTGTAGTGGTGGGAACTTGGGGTGAGTGACCTGTTAAAAGACATGAAGAGGAAGGAATTTCTCACCTTCTAAATGACAAAAGCCCGGGGCCTACTTCATGATACAAGATTTGGATTCCTAAAAGGAGCTTCTTCATACCTTGGCTCTTCAGTAGGATTTTATAGATGTTACTGCTCTAAGAATATAATCAAAACTATCTTTACCTACTGTAAGCACGAGCTACTTTGTTTTATTTATTTATTTATGGTGCTAAGGATTGAACCTGGGGTCCTCACACTTGCAAAGCAAGTGCTCTATAGCTGAGCTACATCCCTGGTTCTAGGCTATGAATTTTATTTATTTCTGATTTGGGGGCCTCACTGGGCAATACTCAAGAGCTTACTCCTAGCTCTGTGCTCAGGGATCACTGCTGGCAGGGCTTGGAGGGTCCTACTGGATGCTGGAGATTGGAGCCAGGTCGGCTGCATGCAAGGCAAGCACTCTCCTCGCTGTTCTATCTCTTGACCTTACGAGTTTCAAAGCATTAAAAAAAAACCCTCCTGAAAACCACTCATTCAAACTATGATATGCCTCTGCAGAGTATCAAGATTTAAGTGAAGCCACAAGAACTTTAAATTCATTTAGTATTTACCATTTATTTAAAACCAAGATCACACTTCTTTATAAATGAGTCTTATAGTAAATGAGTCTGACAAAATGAAGTACTTGGAAAGTAAGCCTTTGAAACAAATGGTGTGACTTTGACTATGAGAGGTCATTTCATGGGGCTGTCTTGATCAATATGATCTAGACTCTGAGGGTATCATTTATAATGAATCAGCATCACCCTCCAAGCAGGTAAGTACACTGTGCATAATTCAAAAGACTATATATGTCAGGAAAACATTTTATTTTTTCTCCATATGTAAGTCACTTACTAATAATGGTAGTATAGCTGCCCAATCTTAGAAGCAATTTCCCCTATTTGCCACCGCTTCAAGCCATATCGATTATCCAAGACTTGTCTGTTTTACACAAGAAATAAGAAAACAGAAATGAGACTATGCATTTCTAAAATACTCAATTATATACATTTCAAAGACAAAAATGCAACTCAGTTTGGTAAGGTTAACAAGGTTTTTTAAACGTTTACAGCAAAACCATTCAATCACATTTAAAAAGCATTTCTTTTTGTGTTTGTTTTTGCTTTTTGGGTCACACCTGGCAATGCGCAGGGGTTACTCCTGGCTCTGCCCTCAGGAATTATTCCTGGTGGTGCTCGGGGGACCATATGGGATGCTGGGAATCGAACCCCAGTCAGCTGCGTGCAAGGCAAATGCCCTGCCCACTGTGCTATTGCTCCACCCCTAAAAAGCATTTTTTACAAAAAAAAAGCATTTCTTACACATGTATTTAAAATAAAAGTAAACAGAAACTTGTGTGCGAATATTAAAAGCAACACCCCCTAAATAGCTTTGGCCATTAAACAGTATTATTGACCTGACTGATTTCAATGCCCAGCATCAAGCCTCAGGCTTCATGCATGTAAGGTGGGACCTTCACCACTGAGCAACATTGAGCAAGAATAAGGGCACCGAGGGCATACTTCATCCAAACCACTTCAGAGGTTGTCTTTAAAAAGCAGATGAGAGCATCACAGTTAAAAACTGTGATACTGGGCCTGGGAGACGGCTCAAAGCGCCAGAGTACAAGCTTCGCATGTGGGAGGCCTGGGTTCAGGCCTGGCACTTCATGAACCCCTGAGCACCATCAGGAGTGGCCCAAAAGTGCTGCCAATTGTGGCCCAAAAGTTAAATGAGAGTGAGAATGTAACTCAGTGGTAGAATATATGCTTTTTTTGTGTACCAGGTTCCTTGTGTAATCCCTGGAACCATCAAACAGAAACATCACATTTCCAACCCTTAAGTAACAGGGTAAGAAATTCATTGGAGGGGGTGGGGGACGAGGTGTCACAAAGATAAACATGAAAAAGTACCAAAACATTAAAAGTTCTGAGGTAGAAAAGGTCCAACTGTGACTAATATCAAATGGGCCTTCAATCTCTTTAATGGTAAAATCCCTTTACCGATGCTGCTGCTGGAACTTCCAGAGTTTGGTGTAAACATCAAAAGTTCTTCCAAAATAGGACTGCCACTGCTTCTGCCCATATTGTGGCAAATCCCTGAAATAAAAAAAATAAACATGTATGAATTTTAATTTGCTTAGTGTTTTTGAAGTCGTCGTGATGGTACAAACTGGGTAGATGAAAAACACTTGCATTCAGGCTTTTTCTTTCTTTTTTGAAAAACAGAGTCAGTTTTTAGAACAGGAATAGTTCTATAAGAAGGATGCAGAGTAATTCTGCTGGATGCTTCTCCTCGCTCTGGAGCTCCTTTTCCCGGGTTTTGCCTGTTCTGGTTTGGGTTTCGGGGCCATGGTCAGTGCTGTCAAGGGCCGTGGGATGCTGGAGATCGGGCTGGGGCTCCTGCCTGGGGAGTGTGTGCTGCAGCCCGCCGCCGCTCTGCAACCCGCAGCTGATTCTACGCTGCTTTGGTAATTCCAGCTCTTCCTTCCCTCTCCTGATCTTATTTGTTCTTAAATACCAGTTGCTTCCCAATGTTGACCTTCAGCTAAGGACCCGGAGAGCTGAAAAACACTGCTTTAAAGAAACATCTAGAAGTGCAGATGGCATAACTGTGCTCCATCCCCTGTATGTAAGAGAAACTATATAGTTCTGCCCTTGGGCCTGTGACTTAACAGTATGTCCCTTGAGACAAATACTTTCCAACCAGAGGGACACTGGACCTGGCCATTTAACTTGTTCTGGTCAAGGAGATTTAATTCTAAATTGTCTACACGGAGTCAGAGATTTAAAAAAATTTTTTTTTATTGAATGACCATGAGATACACAGTTACAATGTTGTTTATGATTGAGTTTCAGTCATACAATGTTCCAAAACCCATCCCTTTTCCAGTGCATATTTCCCACCACCATGGGAACAATACTTAAAAGAGATTATATTTTCACTTTTTCTTCTTATGTAAGATCAAGACAGAGATGCTTCTCAGTCTAGAACACAGACAAGAGTGGAGACTTGGAACAGAAGACAACTTGGAAGTATATGAGAGCTAGAAATAAATCTTTATTATAATAAGGCACTAAAATTCTGGAGTTGTGGCAGCAACCTTATACGGGTAAGGCCAGTACAGGAACTGTAAGCCAGAGAGGGTATTCACTGCAATAAAGATGTAACCTATGACAGCAGCCTTGGATTGAGTAGCTCTTACTGAAGGTGGGGAAATGATGCGATTATGTCATAAATATGGTGGTAAAATGGCAGTTGCTCATAATAACTTGAAAAGCAGATAATGTGACTAATAAGCTTCTGACTACAAAGAAGCCAGGAAACAGTGTTACTAGCTCTGGAGGCTATTTGCTGCACTTAATAAAATAGCGCAGCAAAGAGATGAATTCACCAAAGAACTCACTGCAAGTGGGGCTGTAAAGGAAAAGAGAAAATCCACAAGCCCCATATCTTCCAGGAGAGAAACACTGAGAAATGTTGGCTGCAAAGGCCACTTAACAGAGTTCATCCACAGAGCCAAAGCTCTTAGTAGAAGTCTGTAAAAGGAAGGGGTCCCAAAGCATTCACTGATTGGGGCAAATCAAGTGGGCGTGGGGTGGCAAAATGTAAGGGTCGGACCGGTTGCTGGGAGTTTGATCATTCAAGGTGTCCGTGAGAAAGTCTAGAAGAGACTGAGTATAACTAACTTGAATCAAAAAGGTAGCGTCAATAAATCTTGTGAGAGTTCCATGTCAACAATCATTAGTTTTAGAAAGGAAAAACAATCACTCATTGATTATCTATCTCTTCATTCTTATTGATTGGGTTTGTTTGTTCATGAGCTCAGACACAGCAAAAGGAAAAAACAATCACTGGATTCTCAAGGTGGGGATAAAGAAATGCTAGTCCCGCCTGTAAAGATTAGATTTACAGGCACAAGTTGAAATAAAGGACAGAGAGATGATCTAGAAGACAGTTCCTGAAAATACTAAGCCCAGTCACTTACATAACAGAGAGGATAAAGCAGGAGGACAGAACACACATAAAGGGGACTACCAAGGAAGAACCAACACAAAAGAGTCATAGAAACAAGACAAGAAAGAAATGAAGGGTATTTTCAAAGCGGGGAATGTTGCACACTTGACCAGAGTTCAATCTCTACCACATATGATCTCCTGAGCATCCCTGAGTGTGGAGCCAGGAGTCAGCCCTGAGCACAGCCTGGTGCCCCCCCCCCCCCATGCCTATTACCACATCCTCACACACACCCCCCAAAATAGAGAGAAGAATGTGTTGTTCTGAAATCGGGAGGGGAAGGGAGGGAAGGAAAGGGGAGAGCAGGGGGAGTGGAGGGGAGTGGAGGGGAGGGGAGGGGAGGAGAGGAGAGGGGAGGGGAGGGGAGGGGAGGGGAGGGGAGGGGAAGGCAGGGGAGGAGAGGAGAGGGGAGGGGAGGGGAGGGGAGGGGAGGGGAGGAGAGGAGAGGAGAGGAGAGGAGAGGAGAGGAGAGGAGAGGAGAGGAGAGGAGAGGAGAGGAGAGAGGAGAGGAGGCGAGGTGAGGCAGGGAGAGGTGGGGGAAAGAAAAAAAGGGAAGAAAGGAAGAGAAAGAAAGGAAAGGAAAGGAAGAGAGAGAGAAAGAAAGAAAGAAAGAAAGGAAGGAAGGAAGGAAGGAAGGAAGGAAGGAAGGAAGGAAGGAAGAGAGAGAGAAGTGGGGCAGGGTCAAGAGTGAAGTACAGTGGGTAGGGCACTTGCCTTGCATGTGGCCCACCTGGGTTCTATCCTCAGCACCCCATATAGTCCCCAGAGCTCTCCTGGACTAATTCTTGAGTGCAGGCCAGGGTAACCTTGAATAACACTGCTCTGGCCCCAAAGCAGAAAACAAAAAAGGGGAAGTGGGAAGAAAAAGAGGGAGAGAGAGAAAGTAGAGCTGTAATATAATGTTGATGACCCCTGAGCACTGCGAGATACAGCCATTTTCACCTCTAACATCAACAGCGTCAAATGTTCTACCTATGTTTTCCTCAGCGGAATTGTAGACCCAGATCTTTAACTCATTTTTCTGTGACTTTCAGGCATGAGGATACAGAGAGGTCTGAGCTCATTCATTTGCACGTGAGACCAATTTTTCCAAAACTATTTGTTGAAGGGGCTTTATTTGCTTCACTTCATACTTTTCCATACTTTGTCAAAGACTGAATGTCCATATAATACCCATATGACCTGTCTCTGGACTCTACTCTATTCCACTGTTCTGAGGGCTTGTTCTTATTCCAGTTCCACCCCAACATCTTTTTGGGGTGGGGTGGGGTGTGCACATCCAACTGTTCTCAAGGCTTACTCCTGGCTCTGAACTCAGGAATAACTCCTGGTGGGCTCAAGGGACCGTATGTGGTACCAGGGATCAAACCCAGGTCAGCCACATGCAAGGCAAGAGCTTTACCTGTTGTACTAACTCTCTAGCCTGCCACACTGTTTTTGATGACTGCTGCTTTATAGAATGGTTTGAAATTGGGGTGAAAGAGGCCTTCTGTCTTCTTTTTCCTAGAATTGCTAGGGTTTTTTTTTCATTTCATACAGCATTTGATCTATGTCTTAACCGTCACAGGTATTTAAAAAGGTACTGCACGGAGTATGTATAATGCTTTGGACAAATTTGCCATTTTGACAACATTGATCCTTCCAATTCATGAACAACAAAAAGGGAGGGAATTAAGAGATGGGAACGGGGGCTGGGGAGGAGAGAAGAAGGAAGAGGGAAGAGGGAGAAGGAAGAAGGAGGGAGAAGGAGGAAGGAGACAGGAGGATGGAGTAGGAAGAGGAAGAGGAAGGTGGAGGAAAAGGAGGAAGCAGCAGCGGCTGTAAAAGAATACCCTCATACTGATATGCATGGCCATTTCTCCAAAGAGGACAAACAGTAACTTGAAATTTTGCTCATCTCCACATGCCTCATGACCATATGCAAATCAAAACCACAATGTTATCACCCCACCTTGAGAGCAGCCTGTACCACGCAAGTACTGGAGAGGTTGTGGATAAAAAGGAATCCTGGGCCAGAGAGAGTACAGAAATGGAGTACTTCCCTTGTTATGGCTGCTTCAGATAATCATGGCTCAACCCGGGCACTGCATATGGTACCCAGAGCACTGCCAAAAGTCACTCCTGAGCTTCGAACCAGGAAGAGCTCAGAGCAATACTGGACATGGTCCCTGTAGGAACATCTGCACATTGCTGAAAATGTAATATCGGTCCAGTATATTTGGAAATTAGTTTGCAGGCTTCTCAAGATGTGAAAATAAACTTGCCACATAACCAAATAATTTCACTACTAGACATCTATCTCAAGAACACACAACTTGGGGCTGGAGCAATAGCACAGCAGGTAGGGCGTTTGCCTTGCACGCAGCCAACCCAGGTTCGATTCCCAGCATCCCTGATGGTCCACCAAGCACCGCCAGGAGTGATTCCTGAGTGCAGATCCAGGAGTAACCCCTGAGCATCGCCGCGTGTGACCCAAAAAGAAAAAAAATACACAACTTTGAAAGGCTATCTGTACATGTGGTGTGTGTGTGTGTGTGTGTGTGCATGTGTGTTCACTGCAGCTCTATTTACAATGGCCAAGAAAAAAACATACATGTCCAGCAATGGATGAGTGAATAAAGAGAATACGTAAGCACATTCATATGGGATGCATGAAGGGATGTAAGCACAATGGAAGGACTCCACTAAATGGAAAGATAAACTTGTGCCATTTGCTACAACATACAGGTGTTTGGAAGGTGTCACATTAAGAAAAGTAAGAGAAAGACAAATACTGGACGATCACATTCATATGTGGGACAGAAAGAAAATATTAAAGGAAACAGACAAAACCAACTTAAAGCCCTTGAATTTGGGTCACAGAACTAAGAATGCCAGAGCAGGAAGACACAGGGGCACAAAAGGTACAACAGATGGCAGTGGAGAGGTCTGGGAATCTCAGGGGTGGGCATGCTGTGAAAAATTACTTTTGAAGATGTTTGAAAAAGTGTTCTTCAAACATTACAAAGTTCAGCAGTGCTCTGGGAACTACAGGGTGCCAGAGATGAAATTTGGGCCTCCCACATGAAAAGCTGGCACTCCA